CATTCCCTTAATATCTCCCATGTTACGCCATTTTAAATTCTATATTTTCTTTTCTTTTCTTTTCTTTTAATGGTCTTCTTTTATTTTACATTTTTTTAATTTTCGGTTTTTTTTATTTATATTATTTTTTTCTTATTAATATTTCATGTTTTTCAGTTTGATTTTTTTTAAATATTTTTATTTTGATTTTCATTTTTATTAATTTTTTTAATTCAATTAGTTTTTATTATTTTAATATTTAAAAAAACATCCAGCAGATTTATCAAAGTGGAATCTACTATAAACTTCGAAATCCGCTATAACTTTGAAAACCACTCTATGAAAACATCTATATAAACATGAAAACCACTATGCATAAAACAATTATATAAACATGAAAACTACTATGTATACTCAATTATATAAACATCGAAAACCACTATGAATTCTAACAAGAAAACATTAAAATTATGCGAAAAAGAAGCTATAAACCCACTATACAAGACACCATCTTCTCTCCAATGAACACTAGAGTATAGTCCGTGTAATCATCTTCTTCTCGTTATTTGAAACGTAAACCACTATTAGAAACGCCACTACTATGCCCAAGAAAAAAATGCAAGACCAATTACGAAAAATTAACGTAATCCACTTTAATAATAACATAATCAATAACAAAGTTATCGAAATCCACTAAAAACATACATCAATCCACTACTAAAACAACTAAAAAAACATAAATTCACTATTCAAAAATCCGCTATTGAAAATGTAAGTCACTACTATATCCAGGAAAAAGTGCAAGATCAGTACACCACCACCAACAAAGCCGACGAGGGTCACTATATCAATCTGATCATGGAAAAAAATTAATTTATACGAATTAATATTCTTTTTCACAATATCGTTATCAAATAGGAACCTTCCCCACAAACCCTAAAACCATTGAAAGACGATTGAAACGAAAAAAAAAAATATTTACCTTTTTTTACCTTCCATAGATATCGTTCGATGACGGTGAAAAGAGAGGAAATAGGGGCGGCGCCGGGCGGGGGTTGAGGTCGGCGCCGGACGGGGACTGTGGCGGCGCCGGGCGAGTGCTGGGGCGGGGGCGGGGGCGGCGCTCACTAGGCCAAAACAGGACACTGGCGACGTTTTTTTTCGCGACGAAAATAATTTCGTAGCAAATTTGCGACATTAATAAATAAATATCGTCGCAAGCTCCATCTCGCCACCAATTTTGAAAATGATTGCGACGAAAATCCTAGATTCGTAGCAAACGATTATAATTTGGTTTTTTTAATAATTAACTATTGCGACGAATTATATTTTTTCGTAGCAAAATATTTAAATATTATTTTATTTTATCTTGTTTGCAACAAAAGTGTGTAAACCGTCGCAAGATATTTCTGAAAAATATTTTTGGGCGACGGAAATATGTGAATCGTCGCAACCTATGCATTTAAAAATTTTAATTTTATTTTATTTGCGACGAAACTTAGAAATCGTCGCCACATAACACCAAAAAAAAGTTTTTAGTAAATTTTACTAGCGACTAATTACAATAATCGTCGCAACGTATCTCCAAAAAGTATCTTATTGGCGACGAAATAGTTGGAATCGTTGCAACTTACATTTTATTTTATTTGCCAGTGGAATTTTAAACGTCACCCACCTACCCTAAAGTAAAATTTACTTTATTTGCGATGAAATTCTCGAAATCGTCGCTCACGACTTAATTTATTCACTTACCCCTCTCCATTTCCGCCGTTGCCCTAATATTTTACTCTCTCTTCCTCCACACTCCCTCCCTTTTCCCGTCATTCTCACCGCCGATTAAATTGACGCTGTCAATCTTCGCTCCCCAAGTTTACTCCCGTCGGTGCCGCCGTCATTGCCCATGTCCTTCCAGCCGCCGTCGTTGCCCAAGACCACGCCCCCTGCAGTCGCCGGCCGTCATCTTCGTTTCCAATCGCTGCCACTGCGTTCAGCTAGACGCCGTCCACCATCTATGAAGCCCAGCCCCCTCAAAACTCTAGGTATAAATTTACCTATTTATGAGGTAAATAGCAGGCACCTATATATGCAATTTTAATGCCCCAACTTCCGCAACACTCTTTTGTCTATAAATCCGACATTTTGTATGATAATGTAAGATTTGACTAATTTTTAATTAAGCTTTCATATTTCAGGAGGTGAAATAATTTGTATTAGGTTGTCTTGTCTAATATGAGAATCATATGCGATGATTATTTGGTAAAATCCTTTCAAATGATGGGTATTTAGTAGAGTTTTATTTGGTTCCCTCAATGTTAGATAATTATTTTTCTTAATATCCTTTCTAGGGAGGATATGAGATGAATTTATGTTTATGTTAACTTATATGCCCATTGATTCTCCTTTTGCTACCAGGTGTTTATCTAATGAAGATTCATTAATCCGTGTTTGAAGCTGTACTGTAGCTCGGTCCTATCAACGGTGCACTCTCCGTTACAGCATTCGAGGACCCTCCAATTCTCAACAACGGGAACCAGGCAATCTTTAAACGGTTCAGTATCGCCGAGCAATAAGTAATGAGTGTTGGGCTCGTTTCCATCTCGGAGCGAGAAAATGTCGGGGTTCCTCGAAATAACGGAGTCCTCGAAGTTATCGGGCAGACCCAATTCTCTCCAGACCTTGAAAATGGCACGAAGGGGCAGCTTTTTGGTGAGGGACATCGATAGGAACTTGACCAATCGGGTTACTGCGAGGGGCGTGGATTTGTTTAAGGCGTCGGATTCTTGGCGGACGATTAGGCGAGCGGCGGGTGTGAGTGTGCAGTAGGGTTGGAGGTTAACGGGGTGGGTGAAAATGTGGAAGATGTGAGGGTAGGTGCGGAGGAAGGCGGAGGGGCCGCGGTTGAGGTGGAGTTTCTGAGAGAGGCGTTGGAGGAAGTCGATGGAGATGGAAGGTGGAGTAGATTGGGAGGCGAGGATTAGATCTTGTATGGAGATTACTTTGAGGAGGTTCTTGTATTTCTCCATTAGCTTTTCGAATGTGGCGTCTCTGGCTCTGAAGGTCTGTTCCTTATGTATACGTGTCTATATGTTGGTAACTTGTGACAAAATCTCATAACTTGTTGGTCTCTTGGTTGTGATTTATTGCAAAGTGTTTCGTATTTGTTACATATGTTTGATCATGGTATTTTGTATTGGCAGGCCCAACGAAATTAGTTCTGAGCTTAATATTAAAGAAAAATCCATAATGAACAAGGATTAAATTTCACAAACTAATTTTTCTTTGCTTTCAACATGTCTGTAAGATTATGGTTCTTGGTAAACATTGTTTAATTTAACATCTTTTTGTTATATATTCAGCAGGGATGTATACAATGCCGATTACTGATGCACTTCCTGGATTTATGATGAAATAGTGGCAATTTATCGTCGCTTTTTTTTGTTGATACTCTATCTGTCGGTAGAAGAATTCCCCTGCTCAAGGTACGTACTTCACTGTTTATAAGTTGCTTTCTTGAATAGGAAGAATTATTTACTTGCTCTGCTTCAAGATCTAATTTATAGGAGAACGTGATTAGAAGTGGTAATTTAAGCATGTTACTTCTCTATAATGTGTGGATAATGATTATCCCCGTTCATTTTTGTTTAAGCTTTAACTGTGTTTTTTTAATAATGAAAGATGGTAAAAATTTCGGTTTATGATTCTTTGTGTAAATGATTCTTTGTGTAAATTATAAATTGGGTATGAATAACACGGTAAATTTTAGGCAATAGGCTTCATTTTATATGCATCATTTGGTTTGATAGCAGTTTCTTCATGTTAGATAGTAGTTGTTGATGTTGATCGATGTAATGGATTATACGCCTCTTCTTTATTTTAATTTTATTTTATTTTATATTGTGAACTTGTACTTGTTCGTATTTATACGTAATGCTTATATACTTAAACATTTTTTTCAGGCACGCTTGGAAATAGTTTATGATCAAGTGGATAACTAATGATGAATGGATAAAAGAATGTGGATCAACTCCTTTATGTAATTCTACAATATTTTCTTAATTTTTGTATTTTTTTTTTAACTTTATTTGGATGTATTTGACCTTAAATTACAATTTTAATGTGATGTGTTATTATATCTAATAGTTAATTGTGTTATTATAGTTGATAATTAATTACAGGTTAATTTCTATATTATTATTCAGCGAAAAAAAATAAAACAAAAAAATTGCAATGTTCCTAGAAAAACGTCGCAAATTAATGAATAAATGTTGCGACGAAAATATTAAAAACGTAGCGAATTGAGGGATAAATAGTTGCGGCAAAATATGTTTTCGTCGCTATTTGCTACAAAACGAATAACCCAGAAAAACGAATTATTACGACGAAAAATGCATTCGTCGCCATATGTTGCGACGAAAAAATAGATTCGTCGCAGGCTTAGCGACGACCGCTTTGGCGACGATTTTTTGGCAGCGTTCGCGATGATTGTTTTTCGTCGCAATTATTGATATTTCGTCGCAAATACCATATTTTCGTCGCTAGATTTCGTCGCCAGTGTCCTGTTTTGGCCTAGTGGCTGGGCGGCTGGGGCTTCGTCGGGTGGGGGTTGGGGCAGCGCCGGTGGGGATAGAAGAAGAGGTGAACGGAAGAAGATCTGCAACGGCGAATAGAAAAGAAACGAAAAAGAAAATAAATTCTGGAGAGAAAAAAAAAAAAAAAAAAAAACGTTATGTTAAGGGCGAGATTTGTGGACGAGATTTGTGGGTGAGATTGA